TATATATATATAAACCTTTCAAAAGTGGGATTATAAAAGTGTCCAATATTATCTCCAATTTAAAAATATATAAATGGTGGTAACATCTAGAACAACTATTAAAAAGCCAAATACATAAGAATTTATTGACAATTTAAAAGCCTCAAATTACTCATTTCCATACAATCTCCATCCCACACATTCTCCTCCTTTCTTTAACAAAACTTAGCTCTCCCTCTCTTTCTCAAATTCAAATTTCATTTCAGCAGTTTCTAAGCTCCGTTAACACTCTGCATCACTGCAATAGCCGAAGGATCCACCGAGGAGGAAGAAGACTCCTTCTTCTTCATCTCAACTTCTTCACCTTCCACTGCTTTCGTGGCTTCACTCTTCATTGCCATAGGAAGAGTCATTGCTTCTTTCTCCTTCTTCTCCTTGCTCTCTCTGTACTTACCCCATAGAACAGAGTACAGTCCTCCCACTATCAGAAAAGCCCCAATAACTCTGCAACAATGTCATCAGTATTCAAATTTTTAGTCTCCATTAGAAAGAGATAAAGATATTAAATAAATAATTTGATCACTTTGATATTTTCTCACCCTCCCAAATAGATCTTCTCTGCCAGGATGAAGGAGCCCATTATAGCCACTATTATCATCATTAAAGGGCTGAAAGCAGATGCAAAAACTGGTCCTTTTTTCTGTATAACCAGTCCTTGGACATAGTAAGCAATGCTTGATGTTACTATTCCCTGTATCAGTTCTCAATTTGTTAGTTATTGAGTTTTACATCAATTAATATAACTTGATTAAGGATCTATTTAGAGTAGTTGCAGCTGTTTGAGGAAGTAACTGTGAAATTACTGTAGAAAAAACTACAGTTCAAAAAACAACTTTATTTTATTTTAAAAAGAAATTGGATCGTAAATTTCTGACAGCTATCACATTTCAACAACTCATGTTGAAAAATATCTTTCTATCCCAAAAATTTTAGTTTCTATCTCAAAAATTTTAGTAAAAATAACAAGAAAATTGTCTCAAATAGACCCTACAAAAATGAGAAGCCATGGAAGTAGAAGAACTCACCGCATAAGCTGCCGCGAGCAGATTCATATCCCATCCAATCCTCCAAGCTGAAGCATTCCTCTTCTCCATGACCAAGGTGACAACAATGGCTTGCAGAGTTCCCATGAAACAGACCAACGTGGTCAGTGAGAGCTGAGCACTGTATTTCTTCAATGTCGCAGCCTAATATTATCTCAAAAGAAAAAAAAAACAATTTTTTTTTAATTCAGCACTTATAAATAAAAATTAATCTCTTATCATATTTCACCTGTAGTACAAAGAGAGAAGCCCAAGCAAGCGTCGCTATGATGAGACAAATACAACCCTTTACCCATTCCTTGTCGGCGGCCACCGACGC